TTGCACCAAGAATCGACACTAGCAAAGTCTTGCCACTTGACTAGGACCTATAGTCGAGCCCGGTCTTGGGTTCTCCATCTTCCTCTTGAGTTCAAGATCTGTAAATTTTTTTGATTTTCTTTTTTTTTTTTAATTGAAGTTTGTTTGTTGAGAAAATTAAGAGTAAGTTTAAAATTGCTTTTTTAATCTTGTTTAGGATTGAAAAATAGGTGATAGAATACAGAGACCATGGAAATTAACATGGATTAGAGGTGGAGAAAAAAAAATTTCAAATCGTCAATGCATATTCCACATAATTTTTTGAATTTAAAAAAAGATTTTTTTTGACTGATACAGGTTAATAGTTTTTAAAAAATTAAAGTGTAATATTTAATTTATTAATTATTTAATTAAATTTATTTATATAATATTAATATTAAAATTAATATTTATTTTTATATATTTTTATATAAATTTATTGAAAAACAAAAAACTTGTAATTTACGCCCTTGTGACAGGTTAGAGCAATGCTTAAAAAATAGGAATTCATGGCATGTCAACTCGCCACTGGGCAGTTTCGTTGACAGGACGAAGTTGGGAAATAAAAAATAAAGTTTAAGGATAATTTTGGTAGGTTATAAAGTTCAGGGAGAAACTTGGTCAAAAATATTTAAAAAAAAAAAAAAAAACTTGGTCAAAACAAAAAGTTGAGGGATTTAACGTACTATTTTCTCACGTATGCCCTGTTCGCCATTTACCCCCTCGAAAAAAATAGAAGTCGAGCCTCATCTGCAGCCTCAGCGATTTGGGTTCTTCCCTCAGCTCCTATACCCTTCTCCGATCCAGTCGACCTGGGGACACCCAAACAGGGAGAGCTCCGGAGAGGCAGTGAAATCGGGAAGAGGGAAATAACACCGTACTTTCGCTCGTCCTCGTTCTCGTCGTCCATGGCTGGTTTTATCGCCAAGGTCACCGTCTGCGTGGGTGCAGGTAGGTGCAATCAATCCCCCCACTCCTCTGATTTTTATCTCCATCTTTGACTCAAAGCTGGTTTCTTGTTTGATTATGGTGTAAGGGCATGTAATTTTGTCCCGCATCGAGGATGAGTGGTTTATTAGAGTTGAAGGATTTAAGGTTTTAGATAAAACCTGGGTTCTTGTGAAGTTTTAATGGGTTTTAGTGCAAATTTTGATTATAATATATACATCCGTTTGCTGCTGTGGCTGGGATATGGTTTCTAGTGGTGTAATTAGTGGCCTTTTTTTTTTTTATCTGAAATTGTATTAAGGTTTGTTATTTGTTTGAAATAGTGTATTGGAAGCTAAGCATGTGCTGACCGTATTACATTTTCATCTTAAACAAGAGATCACGACAGGCTTTGCGCCTAGTAGTTAATAATTCTAATGAAAATTATATTTGTGTACTACATTACTGGATCATAGTATAATGAATAATGTAATAATTACACAAATTAGTAATCAGATTCCAACAATAAGTATGCTTTCATTCACAGAAACTGGGCGAACAAACTGGTTTCCAATTTCTTTACTAGAGACCATATACCCCCATTGTTAGGCAGTGGTGAAAAAGGTCAAGACTATATATACATCCACAATGGTATTTGATATTGCACAATGAGTTTCCTAGTATGTAACCAAGTCTTTTGTCTACCCGAAAATGATGTCTTGCAAGACCACTATTCTTCTTAAGGCAAGCTCAAATTTTGCAAAGGGAACTACAATTCTGAAAATATAAACATCCAAGTAGGTAACCAAGTATTATTTCATTGACATAAAAAAAATCTAACTTTGGGTTTGAGTGCATGCTTAAAAAGCATTCTAAACAAATGTGGTTTTGATTAAGTGCATTTCAGAAGCAATTAACTATAAATGCAAGCAGCATCACCACAACTGCTTGATCTTTAGCTCCTTCATGCTGTGCAGAAACATTTAATCAAAAATGATTCATCCTCAATATCTGTTCTAAAATCAAGCAAGATGGTTTAACCAAACTAATTCATGAACTTGAAAAAGAAAAGCATGAAGCAGTTTGCACCCAAGTTAAAACCAAGCACAAGACCATAGAAATCATTTCAAATAGAAAAAAAAAAGATTATGGAAGAGAAAATTATAAACAATAAAAGCAAGGCACTGGACACCCACATGTTCAAATTTAAAATTCATATTAAGATTTAAGAAATGTGAACCCAAATGATCAAGCAAAGGCAAGAATCACTCATAAACAAACCCTCTCAAACACAAAGAAAGATTAGGAAGAAAATCATAAAGCATAGAAATAAGAAAGTATAACACTTTGTATAATTACTCTAATATCAAATAAATCTTATTTTCTTGGGTTGAGAGACAAAAGATGTAAAGAAAATACCTCTAAGGACAAAATGGCAGTAGTCCATGTCAGGTGGAAAAACCTCAACTTTAACACTCTTATGTATTGAAATTGAAAGAAAGAGGAACTTTAACGTAACTTTTAAAAATTCTCCTTTCTTTTGTATGGTTTTCTCCTTTTTATAGCTTTCCAATAGCTAATTTAACATTACGACGAGAAAGCATAAGGAGAAGGAATTATCAACTAATAATAAAATGGCAGCCAGCTCCTTCACAATACCAACAAAATGTGTGTCCCATGTAGTCGTATTTGTTATTATGGTTGGGTAAAAATCTTCCTTTCATCAGAGAGATCAGACAACCTTATCCCTAGCTGCAAAATTCAGCCTAAACTAACATAAACATGGAATAATATCATGGCTGCATGTAGAGTAGAACCACCAATTTGGCATCAATTCATTTAAAACCTTTATAAAAACGGAGGAGCACACTTACACTGCTTACACTGTTGCCATCTTCAATTATAGTATTAGTGATGACAAAAAAATTATAATATTAATGACATTGGCCATTTAAAGTATTTCAATACCTTACCAGAAAACAGATGATTTCAAGAGCTTTTTTAATGGTCAACCAACAAA